CCCAAAAGTGTAAGTACCTGATTGACCTGGTATAAGCATCTTGCAGTACCTGTACAGCAGAGCTCAGGCTAGGGGAGGGTGAAGCAGGACAAGGAACCAAGCAGTTGTAATGCAGTGCACATGTTTATTATTATACAGGATTTATATAGCGCCCACAGTTTGCGCAGCGCTTTACAATATGAGGGAGACAATTCAATTACAATACTCGTGGAGCTGACAATGCTGATAAGGAACATGCTGATAGATAGTGATGGGCTGCATGTTTGAGTCGAATGTAAGTTAAACTCAAACATGGGCTGTTCGTGTGTTCGTTGAACCCATGAATGGTGCAGGCATTCGGCGGCCTGTTTGCCCACTGCGCCAATCATAGGGCATGATGATGTCACAAAGGGGTGGGGTGATCCCGCCCCCTTGTGATGCCATCATCCTATTTAAAAACTGTCTTCACGGCACAACTGTCAGACGGCGGGAGCCAGCGTCCAGGGCGGAGCAGATTTTTTTTTTCTTTTTTTCAGGTCGGCGGTGGTGGCGGGCACCGTGATTGCTGTTGGATCTACTTCGGGGGGACATTTTTTTTTTTTTTAATAGCAGACTCGTCTTTTGTGTGGTTTTTTTTTTTTTTTTTTTTTTTTTTTTTTCTACACTACACTTTTTTGTGCGAATGGGTAGCAGTACCATGTACTGCATACTCATTTATATAGGGGGGCTGGGAACTGGGGGAGCCCTTGAAAATGGGGGCTTCCTGACCCGAAAAAGCCCCCCCGTCTGCAGACCTCCACAACCACGGGCCAGGGTTGCGGGCCAGGGTTGTGTCCCCAAGGTGCTTTGGGAGGGAGCCCCCCTGCCCCAAAGCACTCCCCCATGTTGAATGGGGGGGGAGGTAAGTGGTCTGCTATGGTTCAGGAGGGAGGTGCTCGCTCGTCCCCCCCCCCCCCTTTCCTGACCAGCCGGGCTGCATGCGTGGATAAGGGTCTGGTATGGATTTTGGGGGGGGACATCCTCGCAATTTTTTTTTTTCCTTTTAATTTTGGCATGGGGGATTCCCCTCAAAATCCATACAAGACCAGAAGGACTCAGTATGAATGGGAATAGGGACCCTATGCTGTTTAAAAAAAAAAATATTTTTAATTGTCAGACAATTCCGACAATTCTTTTGGCATTTAGCTGCCAGCGGGGAACATGCTAAAATACCACATGACTTAATAATCTAACTCAAGCAGTATTTTAGTAGCTGAGCAGTATCTAACCGCATACTCGGATGCGGTAAGATATTGCTCAGTAAATTGTCCCTGTTCAAAGATGCGGTCGAACTTTCAGTAGGCTCAATGGGGTTACAATCTGAATGCTGATTTGGTTTGCTCACACGTGATCTTGTTGGTAGCCATGAATGCTTCTGAGGAACCTGGAACACACCTAGGGCAATAGCCCCTTTCCCTTGTCTTCAGTCCACATCCCATCCAAGCCATGGCAGGTGATATAACTGAAGCAGGGGAGCTTTATGCAGGCCATAGACGGGGAGAAAACCAGCCATTTTTTTTAACAAAAAAAAACAAAAATCGGTCGTTCAATAGGCCGACGTTACCACCAACAGTAAAAATCTTCTTCTCCTCCTCCCTCTCATTGCCGCGAAAATCGGCTGATTTTTCTTTAAAAAAAAAAAACCATACATTGGTTGTTCAAGCGGCCGACGTTATCAGGAACGGTAAAAAAAATCGGCCGATTTTCACCCCGTCTACAGCCGGCAAAAAGTGTCACTGCAGAGAGCTCCGCTATTTCTTTGACAGTTCTTTGACATTTATAGCGGTTGCAACAATGTATCTATTTGTATCCATTTCGGATACAGATGTTTTTATTCGGAAACAAATAGATACATGGTTGCAACTCCGCTATAAATGTCAAGGAACTGTCAAAGAAATAGCGGAGCTCTCTGCAGGGACACTTTTTGCCGGACTGGAATTCTTCTTCTTCCTTCCTCTTCTTCTTCCTCTTCTTCCTTCCTCTTCTTCCTTCCTCTTTCCTTCCTCTTCTTCCTTCCTCTTCTTTTTTTTGCAGGTCACTGCTCATGCGCATTTTTTTATCGGTAAAAAGATCGGCCGATTTGCCCATAATTGCTGCTGTCTGGTATGGATTTTGGGGGGACATCCTCGCAAAATTTTTTTTTTCCTTTTAATTTTGGCATGGGGGATTCCCCTCAATATCCATACAAGACCAGAAGGGCTCAGTATGAATGGGAATAGGGACCCTATGCTGTTTAAAAAAAAAAATGTTTTAATTGTCAGACAATGCCGACAATTCTTTTGGCATTTAGCTGCCAGCGGGGAACATGCTAAAATACCACGTGACTTAATAATCTAACTCAAACAGTATTTTAGTAGCTGAGCAGTATCTAACCGCATACTCGGATGCGGTAAGATATTGCTCAGTAAATTGTCCCTGTTCAAAGATGCGGTCGAACTTTCAGTAGGCTCAATGGGGTTACAATCTGAATGCTGATTTGGTTTGCTCACACGCGATCTTGTTGGTAGTCATGAATGCTTCTGAGGAACCTGGAATACACCTAGGGCAATGGCCCCTTTCCCTTGTCTTCAGTCCACATCCCATCCAAGCCATGGCAGGTGATATAACTGAAACAGGGGAGCTTTATGCAGGCCATAGACGGGGAGAAAACCAGCCGGTTTTTTAACAAAAAAACCAAAAATCGGTCGTTCAATAGGCCGATGTTACCACCAACAGTAAAAATCTTCTTCTCCTCCTCATCCTCCTCTCATTGCCGCGAAAATCGGCCGATTTTCGACCTGGCCATAGATGGGGAGAAAACCGGCTGATTTTTCTGTTAAAAAAAAAAAAAAAATCGGTCGTTCAAGTGGCCGATGTTACCAGGAACGGTAACAAAACGGACGATTTTCATCCCGTCTACAGCCGGCAAAAAGTGTCCCTGCAGAGAGCTCCGCTATTTCTTTGACAGTTCTTTGACATTTATAGTGTTTGGTGTTGGTGAAGGATCTTTCCCTCTGATGTTTTCATGGACACTCATCGGATTCATGCTGTTTCTTTATTATTGGACTTTCCATTATACATGTGGAATTTGGATTGATTTTCTGTTTTAGGGTATATTATTTTTCAGCTATGAAGAATGGGCAGCACAGTGGCTAAATGGCTAGCACTTCTGCCTAGCAGCACTAGGATCATTGGTTTGGATCCCAGCCACAGCACCACCTGCCTGGAGTTTGCATGTTCTCCCTGTGCCTTCCTGGGTTTCCTCCCACACTCCAAAGACATGCAGGTAGGTCAATTGGCTCCTATCTAAACTGGCTCTAGTATGTATGAATGTGAGTTAGGGACCTTAGATTGTATGCTCCTTGAGGCTTAGGGACTGATGTGAATGTGCAATATATATGTAAAGTGCTGCAAAAATTTAAGGCGCTATATAAGTACCTGTTATAATAAAGGGCTGTATGGATCACTGGGTAAGGAAGCCATTACTGCTAGTAGGTAAGTCAGTACCATGATGTATCTTGAAGTGGCAAGGAGCACACTTTGAGGGCTTGTTCACATGGGTAGCCTTTGGGGACGGTAAAAGCAGGTGATTGATCTGTGGTTTTATTGACCCCTGCCTGTCTATCTAAATAAGAGCATGCAGCTATTGAGTGCTGTACGCATACATGCAACAGTGGCAATGCTTTGCGGCTGCTGCAAAAATGAAACCAAATATTGCTTTCAGTGGTCTGTACTGCCCCCAAATGTGAGCCAGCATGCAATAGAAGCACAGTTGTACAGGTTCTGTACTGAAACGGCTTACTCTGATTTTCACTGCACACTGTGAGCTTCTCATAGTGTGCATTAGAAGCTGCAGGAAGTCAGAGCCTGCCTCATTTCCTGGCTGGAGGATGTCCAGCATCATCAATCACTTTCCTCCTTAGCCCTACTTCCCTGGCCTGTCCCTAATTATGTACTGGACCTCAGTTCTTTCAATAATGGAAGCTCAGCATCACATGTGGGCATTACTGAGGGAAAGCTACACGCAAATAGTCTGCCTAGGAAAATTCATGCCAGACTGACCCCCTTAAATGTTGGCATTTTGATATATAATGCAGGATCTATCCAACTGCTTGTATAAAGGCTAAGGGCTCATAAGAGGAGTACTAAAGCAGGGTGTTGTGATGTTTTCAGGAAGACATGTACAGCACCCTGCCAGCTCCTTGCACCAGCCATGATATGCCTGCATTGCATGTAGAAACATACAGACCCAGTGATCACATTCCAGGGTCTAAAAAGAGTTCTATAATAAAACCAGAAAGAAATAACATCTCCCGTGTTTCTATACCCAAATTACATAAAATAGATCGATACCACATCCCATAATGCTGAAGTATATCAAAATTCAAGAAAAGAAGGGGATAAGGGACTGTGTGGCATCTAACAGACAAAGGAGATTTTTTTTTTTTTCAGCAAGAAATGTATAAAACAAAATGTACAAATATTATTCACTATAACAAAGACATAAGCCATATGCTATATGGCTTGTATAGCATATAAATACAAGAATCGCTATAAAAGCATATAATCATTATATGGTATGAATAGCAGACATCATATTTAAGAGCATAAAAATGTGTATTGAAACAAACTCCCCAACCCGTTTCTACCTGTACCTTTATTTATTTCAGGTACTTATATAGCGCTGTCAATTTACGCAGCACTTTACATATATATTGTACATTCACATCAGTACCTAAACCTCAAGGGTCATACAATCTAAGGTTCCTAACTCACATTCATACACATACTAGGGCCAATTTAGAGAGGAGCCAATTCACCTGCCAGCATGTCTTTGGAGTGTGGGAGAAAACTGGAGTACCTGGAGGAAACTAACGCAGGCACAGGGAGGACATGCAAACTCTAGGCAGGTGGTGCCGTGGTTGGGATTCGAACCAACGCCCCTAGTACTGCCAGGTGAAAGTGCTAACCATTTAGCCAATGTGCTGCCCTAACATAGCATAAATCATTGGATTCAGGTGTTCCAATCTCCTCCTTGGCCACAGGTGTATACAATTAAGCCCCTAGGCATGCAGACTGCTACAAACACTTGTGAAAGAATGGGTCGCTCTCAGGAGCTCAGTGAATTTAAACATGTTACCATGATAGGTTGCCACCTGTGCAATAAATTCATCTGTGAAATTTCCTTGCTACTAAATATTCCACAGTCACCTGTTACTGGTATTACCCATATGGAAGAAAAATATATTTTAAAAATATTCCTCTCAAATATATTAACAAATATACATAACAGTAATAAATCAAAACACAAAATAAGAAAACTGGGAAAAAAAAAAAAATATATATAAATTATTTTTTTTTGCATGTTGAAATGCGTTTTCATTACAAAATATATGAAAAATATTTTTAAACATACATTTCAAATATATTGTATGTGTTTTAAAAATACAAATCTACATTTTTGGAATGCATTTACAAATATATGTTAAAATGACTTTTTTTTTTTTTTTCTATATGTAAAAAAAAATCTGAAGGATATATTTTTAAAAACTATTTTTCATATACTTTGTAATGAAAACACATTTCAACATGCTGTGTGCATGTATATATATAATGTATGTATATATATATATATATATATATATATATATATATATATAGCCAAAATTGTAGCATTTCAAATAGATGTCAATATATTTGGGAAGAATATTTGTAAAATATATTTCAAATATATTTTTCTTCCATGTGTGTATAACAAAGTGGAAGCAACTGGGAACAACAGCAACTCAGCCACGAAGTGGTAGGTGTCATAAAATGACAGAGCGGTAGTAGGTGTCATAAAATGACACATACTGAAGCACACAGTGCGCAGAAATCGCCAACTGTCTGCAGAGTCAATAGCTAAAGACCTTCCAAACGTCATGTGGTCTTCAGATTAGCGCAACAACTGAGCATAGAGAGCTTCATGGAATGGGTTTCCATGGCTGAGCAGCTGCATCCAAGCCTTACATCACCAAGTGCAATGCAAAGCGGCATATTCAGTGGTGTAAAGCACGCCGCCACTGGACTCTAGAGCAGTGAGAGATGTGTTTTCTGGAGTAACGAATCTCTTCTCTGGTACTACATACACATAAACCCTTGCTATACAAGAAGCCTTTATGATTGTAGGCTGGAATCTGATGTGGGTCATTAAAAGATTGAAAAAAAAAATTGCTAAAGTAAAATGCTGATTTAGGGAAGCTGATCTTATTTATTTAATACCTGTTTGCAGTAGACTTCTTGGTGAGGCAGGCACACATTCAGGACAGACACAATGCGTACCTTTTTAAAGCCCATGGGAATGTTTACTCTGTGGTTGGCTGTCCTTGAACGTGATAAACCAGTTTGCATTCTGTTTTCCTAAGAAAGATCAAGAATCTATATAAAATATTGTTTTTACATGCATAGCTTCAGGTGTGCATAACAGAAAGTTGTCAAGCTAGGCAGAACTGACGGTACGGAATGGGTCAACATACTGTGTAATATTTCTGAGCATTGCAGTTTCCCACTACTCTGACTTATTTCCATACAGTCAAATCATGTCATCACATGTAAAGTATTCAGGGGTGTTGTCGTTTGACCCTATAGGAAATACAATGTCGGCTCTAATTTTAACAAGGCAAAAAGTACATGAGAACATATACAATAAGTTATGTGTCTCAGACTAGACTAATGTGGTGCGGTACATCGCACGTGATTCGCGCAGGAACCGCACTGCATTCCTGTGCAAATCACATGCGATTTGTGTGCAGTGCGATTGGAGCTATACATTATGTATGGCTCAAATTGCACTGCACCCGCACCAAAAAGATGCAGGACCCTTTTTTGGGTCCGCACTAGAATCGGATCGCATGGGTATTCACATCTATGCGATCCAATTCTTCACATCGCACCGCGTTTTGCGGACTGATTTCGGGGTGTTAACCGCATCGGTTCGCATGAATGGGGTGTGAATCTGATGCGTTGCGGAATTAGTACAGAAAACGCTGCAAATTCTGCACTGCATTAGTGTGAACCCAGATTGTTTTTGATGTTTATACAAAAATGTTAACATAAAACACAAGAGTTAATGTGTTATATTATTTTACATTTTATTTACAAATAATTAAAAACACTAATTATGTAAAAAGGAAAATTTGAGTAAGAATCATTTTAAATGTAATTTTTATAACTGTTATAATATATTAGTTTATAATATGTTTTAATATGTTCTTACAAAAAAGTATATCCACACATGAAGCAGAGATGAAGTATCTATCTGAGAAATGCCAGGGGACGTGTAAACCATTTCCAATATCATTTTCAGCCAGGTTCTTTATAAGATACCCAGGGGGCAGGTATAACCTTTATGTTTAAATATAAACTCCACACAATCGGGTATTAATGCAATTGTGAACTCATGTGATTAGATTAAAAAAATAATTTATATACAATTCATATAAATAAATAAAATTCAATATATGTGGAAAAAAAAAAGTGATCAAGTGCACACAAAATAATGTATATTGGTGTATAAAAGTCTACTATAATCTTCTTCCACTTTGAGTGTAATCCATATACATATATAAATTCCACCAGTGCAGCTATTCATGATCAATCACCACCTGCAAAAATGTGTCTTCTACCACCTTTCAAACACGCCCATGACGTGTTTGGTCATCCAGTCATAACTGCTTCAGGAGGCTGCAATCAATTTTGTTATGTATATACAGTAATACCTCGGTTTAAGAACGCCCCGGTTAAAGTAATTTTCTGTTTACAAATGAAAATCCACTGAAAATAATGCCTCGGTTTACAAATTTTGTATGAATTTTTTTCGCAATACGAAGTGTATGTCAGTGCTGATTTTTAAATGCAATTGCTGGCTCTTTTTTTTTTTTTTTTTTTTTTTTTTTCTTCACTATAGCTCACAGAATTAGCTGTCACTTTCCCCAAAGTTAACGGAAATGTTGTTTCTTTTAAGAAACTAAAAAGAAACATTGTTTCCCCCCCCCCTTCCTGAACTGCCAGGCTGCATGCTCTGAAAAGGGTCTGGTATGGATTTTGGGGAGGACCCCCACGCCATTTTTTTTTTAAATTTTGGCGTGGGAGTTCCCCTCAAAATCCATACCAGACACGAAGGGCTTGGTATGGATGGGAAGGGGGACCCCACGCAGTTTTTCAAATTTTTTTAATTGCCGGCAATTCTTTTACATTCAGTTGTCAGTGGGGAACCCCACTGACAGCTGAAATATTAACACATGGTTGTCACTACTAAAATGCCGTATGACTTGATAAAATAACTCATGCGGTATTTATTAGTGTTTACTTTCTTCTGATCTCCGGAACAGATTAATTGGTTTTCAATGCATTCCTATGGGAAACGGCGTTTCGGTTTAAGAATTTTTCGCTGTAAGAAAAGTCCTGCAGAACGAATTAAATTCTTAAACCGAGGTATTACTGTAATATCTTTTTGATTACAATTATGCCCTGGTGCATTAATATGTATGTAAACCCTCACAGCAAACTTCTTTTATTTGCTCCCTTTTTTGGTCTGATAATTAAACCCTTGAACGCTTTTTATTTCTTTTATTGTATCTGTTTGATATGTGCAGAAAATTCCGTTTTTGAATTTGTCAGACTGTGATCTGATTACTTTCTGTAGTGTCTTCTCTGTCTGTGCACATGGAGACGCTATGGATATGAGTGGGAGAGGAGATAAGGAGAGGTCTGTGCACTTTGTAATCCATCAAAAATAAAGTAAGGGCTCGTTCACACTTGACTGTTTTACCAACTCCTGCCAAACGCCCCTATAGCATTTGGCAAGTGTTGGTCCGGTTTGCGGACCCTTTTTTAAACGCTCCACAAACGCCGCATGCGCGGTTCAGCTGTGGTTGCTAGGCGTTTGCCGAGCGTTAAAAATGCCCTGCAAACGCCTATAATGCAGTTTGAATGGTGTTACCGCCGGGCGTTTGCAGAGCGGCACCATAGACTAGAACAGGAGGCTTCAACACCTCCTGACTCGAACAGAGGCGTCCGTTATGCCACGATGCTAACGCTCCCGTTAGAACAGCACCATGTGCTGCAATGTGCAGAATTGTCCGAGGCGTTTGGGAAGCGGTAAAAACGCTTCCCAAACTCCTTTCTGCTGTCTGCACAGAACGCTAGTGTGAACATAGCCTAAGGCTGGCTGACACCACGTGCTTTGAAATCCAGAGTCAGAAATACACTCTATTGTGTGAAAGAGGAAGGTAGAAGCACACTAAACTTCTGGCACATCAACAGTTAATTTTATTTCATTAATAAGTACAGAAAACAAAGAAATGTGCATGAATTGCATAGATGTACGAAATGTGTGTGGGGTTTTTTTTTTTGTTTTGCTTTGTTTTTTGGGGTTTTATTTGTCTGCCCCATGCAGTGGCGGACTGACAACTCATGGGGCCCCCAGGCAATAGGGGATCATGGGGCCCACACCCAAAAAAGCCTATGAAAAAGCCAATGAAAGGTACCGGGGGCATCTCATGGGGCCCCCTACTGACCCCGGGCCCTCGGGCAGTGCCCAAATGCTGGAATGGTCAGTCCGCCCCTGCTTGCAGCTTCACAGCCCGCTCCCCACTGTGCATGCGTGAGATGCACCGCACTTTGCGAATGCAAAGCCATCTTCTGGGACCTGTGACATGTCCCGAAAGGGACCTAGGCAATCCAGGTGGAAGTAGGAGCAGGTACCTGTCAAAACCAGATACCTGCTGCCCCCCCTTTGCCTGGGGGCCCCATGAGTTGTCAGTCCGCCCCTGGCTGCAAGGCTTCACAACCAGTTTTCCTCAGCGCCAAGGACCTGAAGAAAGGTGAAGAACCAGCCCAGGTGAGGTCAGCACTAGATCCTTGGACAGGTAAGTATCCTTTTATTAAAAGTCAGCAGCTACAATATTTGTAGCTGCTGACTTTAATTTTTTTTTTTGCTCTTTAACTTTAAGGCTGCATTCACGCCTTTAATGTGATTTACTGGCATTTTTAGTTGACAGTTTTTGAGCTTTTAGAAGTGTATTACAAGCATTTTATAGCTTCAGGTGTTTTTGTTTTAGCTAATAGAAAGCACTAGGTGGAGGAGAGGGGGAAGAAATTAGGGGTGGAGAGCTGCTGTTTGATCAGAAAACGCACAACAAAATGTTCGTAAAATGCAAGTCACACGTTTTCTATTGAAGTCTATGTGACCAAAAATGCTCAGATACTGTCAAAGCAGCTCATTTACTTTTTTTTTGTGCACCAGGCATTTTGCTCATGTACTTTTTTGAGCGCCAGGCGTTGGCTTGTTCAGCGTTTTAAAGCTACAAGCTTCAAGCACAAAATCGCTAAGGTGTGAATGGGGCCTTTAAAATAAAATTTTTTTCTTTTTCTTCTGTCTGTGCTTTCCCCTCATTCATTTATACCAGACCAGAACTGAAAGAATCTCTCCAAGGGATCCTCCAATGGCAGTTCTAATCCTTTCCCCTCTATCTACAGTACAGGCGTACCTCAGTTTCCGAATTTAATTTGTTCCGCCGGACTTTTCGCATTGCGAAAAACATTCGTAAACCGAACGCGGTTTCCCATAGGAATGCATTGAAAACCAATTAATCCGTTCCGGAGGTCAGAAAAAAGTAAAAAAAAAAAGTTTTTGATCTTTTCAAAATTCTTTACAAAGTGCACTTTAACCACTTCCATACCGGGCACTTTTACCCCCTTCCTGCCCTGGCTTTTTTTCAGGTTTCAGCGCTCACACTTTGAATGACAATTGCACGGTCATACAACACTGTACCCAAACTAAAATGTTATCATTTTCTTCACACAACTAGAGCTTTCTTTTGGTGGTATTTAATCACCACTGGGATTTTTATTTTTTGCTAAATTAACAAAAAAAAACCCAAAGATTTTGAAAAAAAAAAAAACAAGTTTTTCTTTGTTTCTGTTATAAAAGTTTACAAATAAATAAT